GGCCCTGCCGACAAAGGGCTTTGATGTCGGCAGGGGAGCATCCAGACTAGCACGCTGAGCCGACAAACAGCTGATTAGCTGTTTGTTGGCTCAGCGCGGCAGCCATGTAAATTTAAATGAAGCGGCGATTATTTAAATCGCCGCTTAATTTTACTATGTCTGGTAGCCTAATCTACATGCCTCTGGCGACAGAGGCATGTAGTCTAGACGTACCCTGTTTCTCTATCCCTTTTTTAATGATTCCTAACATTCTGTTTGCTTTTTTGACTGCTGCTGCACACTGAGGGGATGTTTTCAGAGAATTATCCACAGTGCCTCCAAGATCTCTCTCTTGAGTAGTTATAGCTAATTAGTCCCCATCATTTTATATGTATCGTTGGGATTATTATTTCCAATGTGCATTACTTTGCATTTATCAAAATTAAAATTCATTTGCCATTTTGTTGCCCAATCACCTAGTTTTGTGAGATCCTTTTGAAACTCTATAAAATCTGCTTTGGTGGTCTTAACTATATTGAGTAGTTTAGTATCACCTCTAAATTTTGCTACCTCACTGTTTACCCCTTTTCTCCAGATCATTTATAAATAGGTTGAATAGGACTGGTCCCAGTACAGTCTGTTGGGGGACACCACTACTTACATCTCTCTGTCCTGAAAATTGACGATTATTCCTACCTTTTGTTTCCTGTTTTTTAACCAGATATCAGTCTATGGGAGGACCTTCCCTCTTATCCCATGACAACTAACTTTACATAAGAGCCTTTGATGAGGGACTGTGTCAAAGACTTTCTGGAAATCTAAGTACACTATAGCCTCTGGATCCCCTTTGTCCATATGTTTGCTGATTTCCTTCAAAGAACTCTAGTACATTAGTAAGGCATGATTTCTCTTTACAGAATCTATATTGACTTTTTGCCAACAAATTATGTTCCTCTTCATGTATGATAATTCTATTCTTAACTATAGTTTCAACTAATTTGCCCAGTACTGATTTAACTTACTGATCTGTAATTGCCAGGATCACCTCAAGAGCCCTTTTTAAATATTGGCATCAATATTAAGTTGTCATGGGATAAGAGGGAAGATCTTTTCATGGACTGAGAATTGGTTAAAAGATGGGAAACAAAGGGTAGGAATAAATGGTAAATTTTCAAATGGAGAGAGGTAACTAGTGGTGTTCCCCAAGGGTCAGTCCTAGGACCAATTCTATTCAACTTATTCATAAATGATCTGGAGAAAGGGGTAAACTGAGATGGCAATGTTTCCAGACGATACTAAACTTCTCAAGATAGTTAAGACCAAAGCAGACTGTGAAGAACTTTAAAAAGAACTCACAAAAGAATTTTGTAATATTTGAATAATTTAAGAAAAAATCCAAAATTGAGTATCAATTGTGACAATTTGAAGACTCACTAAGACGACCATCAAAACTTACTCACAAGGAATCATTGAGACCAAGAACTGGATAGGATTTGAAAAGAGTGGACATTTGGATGGACAACAAGAACATCCAGAGTTATA